GGGGGGGAGGGGGGCTTCCTGCAACACCTAGTGCAAAAAAAGAAAAGCAAGTTCTGTGTGTATCTCATGAGCCAGCGAGAAGGAAAATGAGGAGGAAGGAATATGCCTATGCATGGTGTGTATTAATGTAATTTAGGGTGCTCCAAGACCCCTTTTCCAAAAGGCTATTTTGGAATGGCCACTGAGCCAAAGGTCTAACACCTTTTTATAGCAGAGCTGGTTAAGGATGCAGGAATCTGATTGGAAAAGGTCATGCTACCACAACATAGAAAGCTCCTACCGGCTAAACCAGAGATAGCTGAGTGAATGCACACACAGAAGGCTTAGGCTTGCTGATAGTACTGCCCCAGATACCTGCTCCGTCTCCTCTACATGGGGGGCTGTGATGCACCTTCCAGAGCACCACAAAGTATAAGGCATTGAAGGAAAATTGGTGTAGGTTTCACTCATGCTGCAGGGAAATCTGTCTGAGTGTTGCGGAGATGGGGTAAGCAGCAGGAAGCAATCACCTCTCACCTTCACCTCTGAATGTCTTACTACCCAACCCAGCTGAAAATTAAGATGTGCTAATGTAAGTCATGAGTGTATGCACGGTTGGTTATACTGCTCAGACAATGGGCAGCAACTTCTTACGCTGAGGCAATCCAATAACCTTCAAGAATATGCCCAGACATACAGACACATAGAAAAATTAAACAGCCAGGTTAGTGATAGAAAATTTTGATCAATACACCCTGACAGCAAAAGAAAGACTTAAACAAGCCTTGCAGCTGTTTCTTGTGGAAATTATACTACAGACATGTTTGCTTCCATAGGGATCAGAGTGTGGGAATTAAGGATATTTAATGGCTATTGGGGGCGTGTGAGCTGAAGGTGCTCAGCAGCTTGCCAGCTCCCACCCTAAGCACATAGACTCCATATGCTCTTACTTGCCTTGCCATAATGACTCCAGAATATTTGTTTGCTTTGCTGGCAGCGCTGCAGTGTAATGGCAAAGGCCAATCTAGGCCCTGTGGTTTATTCAAGAATGTCTGATATCCTCCAGCATGACTTGCTGTTACCTCACATTTGATATCGTCATTGCACAGATTTATTTTGGCTGAGTAACTCTGATTTTGCTTGGGTTTAGTGCCAGAATTGCTTAGCAGAGGAAGTTCCAGACTGCTGAATTGCTTTCTTAGGTCTCCACCCAGCTCTTCTGTAGTTTTTCAATGCCTTATTTAGCCACTGATAATGGGATAATGATACAAAAAGATTCTCACAGTTTGAGTGGAATAAGTTGCTAGACAAATAAACTAATATTTTGTTTTCCTCTTACAGATACATTTTTGCATGACCATGAGCATGATGCTGTTTTTCAGTTACACTAGTCTAAATCAGGAGTGACTACACTATCTCCAGTAAAACTATATCAGCAAAAAATCAATAGGAAAGAACCAAATTGCATAAGTCACATATTGATTTGTACTGTTTGTTTTCAAAGGTATCCCTTGCAATCTCTCATACCAAGTGTGCTAAGACTCCCCTACCCTTGCAATAAGTGCAGTAAGCATCTAAGATTCTCAGGTCATAATTATTCTGTTGAGAAACACTGCTCAAAATACCCTGAATACAATTCCCTTTTCGAAGTGGCTATGCCATTTAAGATCCTTGTATTTCAATGCATAATGTCTTTTAGAAAAGTATATTGTACAAAAAAAAAAAAAAAAAAAAAAATTAACTTCCGGCCTTGGCAATATGTATCATTTAGGTTTGTTTGGTTTTTAAGATCATGTCCAAAAAAGATCAGGCATATTCACAGACGAGCCAAAACCTGCTGGCATTGTTCCAGCCACCCTGCTGCTAGGTTATATCTTCATGTAAACTGTCATTGTCTCAGCAGACCAATGAAACTGCACGAAGGAGCACTGTGTTTGAATTAATAAAGCTCAGGACATCCTTTTGCCAACAACCAAGCTTCAGTCGACACCTTTAGCAATACTTTTAGCTGTATCATTCATAAGATATGACTTATGTTTCTGTAAACCTAAATAGATTCAAATGCTAAAATACACGGAAGAAAAGCTGCTATGACCCTTTTATTCCTCCCTCAGCAGAAATACTTAACACTGGATGATCACACAGAGGGACATAAAAAACATTACTACCCTGGTTTTTAAGCAACATTACTATAACACATGTGAAGTTTTCCCGTGGATTAAGATGTAAAGCACTGCCTGACTGTACATTTTAGGACATATAATCTTAATTATGTACATGACTCAAAATGTACTTCAAAGGAGGTTTGGCCAGCTACACTTTTCTCCTCCAGCTATTAAGCGTGCTTTGCTGAGATGGCTGTGGAGAGGGAAGTTCAAAGCAATGCAGGGGAGTGAAGCCTGGAAACACACACCTCAGGCTCAGGCAGACACCACTGCACCTGCCACTCTGCAAATCTCAACATCCATGATGGCAAGATGCCTGGGTGTTTTTTATCAAAAAACTGTGGTTTGTGTGTAATCAGGCAACTGCAGGACCTAGCACTGGGGACAGGATTTTTGTCCCTGTACATTCATTTGGTCCTTTGGGAGCCACACCACTTGTCTGTCTTGCCATCATTTCAGGCTGAAAACTGGAGCTCTTGTTATGCTCTTTATGCCTTTAATTATACTGTAATAATTAATTAATCTTTCTTGTACAGTTTTTTTGTTGAAATCAAAGTCTGTGCTGACACATTAGATTTAGTTGTTCTAGCTTTCTCTGGTAAAGATCTCTGAAAATCTTCCTGCAGAAAGAGGGTGAATGGTCCATGGGTTAACGGAGCTGCAGCTGAGATGGGATTCAGTTCTTCAGGCTTCCTACGTGGCATTAGACAATGCACTTGACTGGCTGATTCCCAGTCTGTAAAACAGTGACAATATATTCTCTTGCCTCACAGGAGGAGCTTGGATGTGATGGTTACAAGAGCCCATGAAGACATGTTATTAAGTTCCACATTT